GTGTGTGTGAGAGAGAGTGTTATATAAAACATAACAGTGGGTGGAGCTTATTTCACACTGTCCAGTGTTGAGACAACACGGAGAAAATCAACACTGTGAATTAAAACCAACACTGGAAGTCAGTTTTCTCAGAAAGTGTTAAAATAACACTAGGAGTTAAATTGACTCTGAAAAGTTTAACACTGACATTTTAACCTGTTTGGAGCCCAGGAAGACCTTTTGATCCATGTCCTCTTTGGGCTCCTCAACAGAGAAGAACAAAAACTACACTGTATCCAAAAAAATCCACATCACACATGACGTGTTTTAATGAGGTTAAAGGAGCACATGATACAGACATTTTATTTGGTCCTTTACTTCCCACCAGCTGGCCGTGAACCATCACAGACTCCTCCTCCTGAGACGATGCACTCTGGAGTGGCGGCGTCACRCGAGGGAGTCTGTGTCCGAAAGAGAGGCGTGTGCGGACCAACTTTACCAACACTTTCTACTTCAAAGGAGCTTAAAGTGCTGGAAAACAGTGTGTATTTCCTGCTCACACACAAACTGTCATTCCTGTCCCTAATATCCATTATAAAGACTAAAACTATTCTCATTTGTAAAAAAAAAAAAAAAGGTTCTCCTTTCTTTGTCAGGGTGCTCTCTAACTTACTGAAATAATCAGTTTTCTTTCACAGAATTCTTTTTATATACTTAGTACAAAAACTAATGAAATGTGTTTGTTATATTATTTCTTTGTTGTAACAATGCTTCTTGGTTATAAATCTTATGATTGGTAAAACCTGGCGGCACCAGAAGCTCAAAATAAACAACAAAATAAGTTGTTTTGCAGAGATTTGGCAAATTTTTCATGTGCGTAACCCACATACTCAGCTCTACTGCTCATCAAACAAATGCATGTTCCTTACAAATGTGGCGCCATTTAAAAGAGAATTTAACAGGCTTTCCAATAATATAAGAWTGATTGTTACAAAGAAATAATCTACCAAACACAAATATCCTTACGTTTTGTGCTGAGTTTATWATTATGTTTCAGATGAGAGACGCCCAGATGATGCAGGAAGAGCGAGCCGAGTGTTTCTATCGCAGACGCACTCTGAGGAGGTTYCTGCTCGCACTTTTGGATCACGTGACCCAGGAGAGGCTGGAGGAGTGGGACCGTCTGCGGCGGGCACAGGAGCACAGCGACAGGTCTGCTGCGTCTCCGACTTTTTAAAACCACMGYGTTGTCAGGTCACTGAAAAGCATCRAGAGCTCAGCAGTTAATCTAAAYCAACAGTGGTGGGYACAGTTCCMCTAAAGYGCTAAAACACCAATAGGAGAACWAATTTCCTGATTAGTGTCTYAGGRCTTTTGCTAATTTTAGAMTTTATTAGTGGGTTAGCACTCGCTAAATTTAGAAGCACTAACTGAGGTCTATAAATGTTATTGATCAACATTAATATTAACAGCTGATGGTGAAAGCTGTCACATTTTGTTCATATGTCACTTATCCACCAGGTGACAATATATTGACAAAATAACACAAATACAGCTGTGGAATGTCATTGATAATGCTGCGTTCACACCAAACGCGATTTCAGCTTCAAAATTGCATCAAACGCTTCAAGTTTGAAGCTTGTGCACTTTGAGGTCAGACGCAGGTCAGCTCTTGAAGCGCTGCACGGCAACAGCCTCCCCGCCCCTCYCTCCTCTGTCGGGCTCTGTTTAATGTCGGACGAGGAAGTGGCTTTGCTTTATTTACAGAGAGCAAGAGCATGTCACATTCATCAGATAATTAATTCATAATTAATTCACCAGATAATTCAGAGACATTCTGAGTTTCATCACCCAGCAGCTGCGGGAGAGGCTCACAGCTTGCTTTCAGGACTATTTTTGTCCCGAGTCCAGTCTGATGAGCCGCTGCCACGCATTGGTGCGGATATCTCCTGTCAGGACACCGACTGCAGGCACTCGATTTCAGCTAAAGAGCTCCTCTCCATCTGTTTCAGGTTAGTGGACATCATTCAGTAAACTGTCCCGTTGGGAAATATGTCACTACRTCACACAGTGGAGTCTCTCTGATTGGATGACGCGGCGCGTCGAGCTGCAAAAGTTCAGATTTTCTAACTTCAGCGATTTGAGCATCAAGCACGTCGAACGCTCAAATCGTTCAAATCGTGCTGCTCTAATCGCGCTTGAGGCGCCGCAGCACTTCCCTACGCTGCTTGAAGCGCGTCCACCATAGACTTTGCATGTAAACCTGATGCTGAAATCGCGTTTGGTGTGAACGCACCATAAGTCTTAAGAGAGCAACATGGTAATATGTGACTCATGTTGTCTGTTGAAGAATGCTCATGAGTTGACTCGGTTATTTTAGTGCTTTAGAGTTAGCTTTTGCTACATTTTTTCAGTGTGTTAGTGCGTTAGAATTAGGGGACCTAAATATTTGAGTTAGTGTTTTAGGGCTAGTGGAACTAATTTTTAGATTAGTGCTGCCCACCACTGCTAATCAAACACGGTCACTCAAAGGTAGTTCGACAGAATTCACCCTTTTTGAACCAGCTTCACTAAAATCTAAGATTTAAATGTTAAATGACCTCTGGTTACAGCTGAAACCCCACCAGCTGCCACCTTCAACAAACCTCAAATACAACTAATTACATGTTGTCAACCCAGAGATCATCTTTAATCTAAGTTTTTTTTTTTGCTTCATCTCCGTCTATCCTTCCATCGGTTTGCATTTTAGACGGCGCCTGCAAAGGTGTCTGCTGGCCTGGAGGCAGCTTCCCAGCGTGCTCTGCAGAGAGAGGCGGCGGGAGAAGCTGAGCAGGAAAGTTGCTGAGGTTTTACCTGATTTCTGCTTCCATCCATCACCAGAAAGGGACTAAAGATGAAAAACTGCGCAGTTGCAACAAAGAGACAAGCACATCACTCCAGATGAGACAACTGGCTGCTCGTTTCTCAGATTTATTTATCAAAATAAATTTAATTTAATTTATAGAAATTCTACAGTCTCTCAACTAATACATTTATAATGCTATGAAAGGCTTGGAATGTTACAGTATAGCTGCCATACTTCATACAATTCTGTCTTTGTATTAATAATTGTTTTTTATTGCAGTATATGTTCAACACTTTGGGACAGCAACAAGTTGTGTTTTATATAAATAAAATCGACCTTGGAGTTCTCTTAAAGCAAAAAGCATCGGCAGTGGAAAGCAGCAAAAGATTTTTTCCTTCAGCTGAAATTTGTGCTGATTTATCTGCCTGTTTGATCAATCTAAAAGGCTTTCATGTAGGAGTGTGTTGACAATAAAAATAAGAACTGAATTAAGAGAGTACCTCCATTAGCCCGGCGCTCAGATATTTCATTCATCTGTCATAAATATCCACGGCACAATGTGCAAAGGCAGAGTAGTGTTTGACACAAACAGGTTCACAAAACAAACAGAACATTTCAAATTGTTCWCTGGCAGTGAAGCTGTTAAGTGTCAGAGCAGCTGACAGACAAATGATCTGAAGCACAGCTGCCATCTAGTGGACGACGGCAGCACTGCTGCCAGGAGACACGCCTCAGACTGGATCTGCAGGACGAGCGGACGTCAGTTTGTCTCCCATGGACATGAAGTCGGACCAGTTCCCGCGCAGACCTCGAGAGTAAGCGCCGGTGTCCACCACGAKCCCCCAGCAGGCCCTGCGTGCAGTCCTCTCTCTGAGGGCCGCCCGCGCCTCCCGCTCCGTCACGTTGTGGCTGATGTTGACGAGCTGCACCAGCAGCAGGTGGAGCAGCCCGCCGCTCACGACGCTGCTGTACCACGCACAGGTGAAGCAAAGGGCYGTGCTGGGAGACACATAAAACCCACATTAAGAACTCACTGAAAACAAGATGATCTAAGTTTCACAAGTGACAACTAAGGAGTTGTGAATGTCCGTTTTTATTCTGCAGAGCCACCAGCAGATCCTTTTAACTACCCGRCTCTTTGTGTTTTGATGAGCGCTCCTTTGAGGGTCTCTAAAAGCTGATTTAACTCCACAGAGGAGGACGTCTGACATTCAGCAGCCAAGAACTTCACAAAAACATTTTCTTTCTTTCTGGGAAAAATGTCAAAACAGCCCATGATGTCTGAGTTAAAACAGTTTCTCTGAGCTTTAAAAGAATAATTTTGCTGGATTGTTGGGAAGAAGGATCTTCTATTAGTTTCTATGAACAACTCCTGAACAATTCATGACTTATTAGACATGATAAAGTTATTTTCTCAGTATCATCCAGAGCACTGATACTCGTTACACGTTTACTCAAGTACTGCAAGACCAAGATATTCCTATTTATGTGAAGGATGTTTAAGAAATACACAATCAACTCTGCTTTCATAGAAACCAAATCTACATTTTAATTCAAGTTCAAATCTGCTGCCAGTAAAAAAAAAAAACCTAAAGTAACAAAAGTCCATCTCAGTTTTGATGTCTGAATATTAGGAGTGGGCTGATTTAGCACTGATTTTATTCATTTTGGGAAATTAGTGATCAGCTGATACTTATAGTTGAAACCAGAAGTTTACATACACTRTATATAAAAACTTTTTTTACTGTCTGACATGAAATCTGAATAAACTTTTCCCATTTTAGATCAATTAGGATTAACAAAAATTTTTCTATTTGCTAAATTCCAGAATAATATATTTTTTTTTACATTTTAACTTTCTTCAAAGTCAAAAGTTTAAAAACACTTAGATTATTATGCCTTTAATAGAAAAAAATCACATCCCTCCACATCTACCTGTCYTCTTTTGCTCTGCTGTGAGCACTACCTAATGTCCAGTTAAAACAAGCTTTTATTGTTTTGTTCACTGTTTTCCAGTAAAACAAGATCGGAACATTGAAGGGGTATTGTGACTTTATAAGACTCGACAGTGTCAGTTATTTAAAAAAATGAATAATAAATAAATCGGTATTGGCCAAAATCAGAATCGGCAGGTCAGGTTTTTTTTTTTAAAGAAAAGACCAGAAAGCTGCCATCAGTGGACTCCTACTGAATACATCAAATAYTGTAATACTGGTCAAGTTGATGCAGTGACATCAGTGTTATATAAATTACCACAAAGTGATACTTTAGTAAAAGTACAAGTATGTTACCAAAAAATTACTTTGGTAAAAGTTAAAGTCTCCTTTAGGAATATTACTTGAGTAAAAGTCTTAAAGTATCTGATATTTTTTGTACTTAAGTATTAAAAGTAAAAGTATCGATTTAAAATGAGCAGTTAGATTTATTACATTTATTAGGAGGTGACCTCCCCCCAAAAAATGCAGAAATGACTATATTGTATTAAAATAATTAATTTATGTTAAATTTAGGATGCACTAGTCTGTTTCAGTTTATAAACATATATCAAGGCTGCCCGAAACTTTTCCCCAAAATGAAAATATCTGAGGGCTGCGGCCAAATGCAATAATATAATTCATGAAATACAAATATTTCTTAAGTACAGTACTTTTATTTTAATGGTTGTGTCCAGCTGGAGTGTGACATGATTTGTTTGTGTACAAACTAATACAGTATCAGAATTTTATATATTTATACTTCTCAATTAAATTCACTATCTAGGAGGAACAATTTATATGGATGGTATTTATTTTTTACAATAACAAGCTGGAATGAAAACAAGCAAAAATGAAATAAAAGTAACGACTTTCTACTTCTTTCCTTTTTTAAAAATGTGAGTAGAAAGTACAGATAATTGTGTGAAAATGTAAGAAGTAAAAAGTAGGCTAAAAATTAATTACTCAAAGTACAGATACCCAAAAATTCTACTTAAGTCAATAAAGTATTTATCTAGTTTGGGAACCACTGATTTAGATGACTGTGCCAGTTTGATCACTGAGGACATTTGACAGCTTTAYAAAAACTGTTGTTGGTGTTTTCTAATGAAGCCTCTGTCAGAACCAGGTATTCTTGTGTTCTTTCTACCTGTACTGGTTGTAAACTCCAGGGCAGTAGAGTAAGGCGGTGAGGAGGTGCTGCCGGGGACACACGCTCCGCAGCACCAGGCTGATGCCGTACAGCGACGTCATCAGGAAGAAGATGAGCGTGAGCAGGAAGCTGCGGTGATTGGCCTGTCCCACACAGCTGTTTATCCTGAGGAAGGCGACAAGACAAACAGAAAAAATGTTACATTAAAGTGCCTGTGATGTCAAAATTTTGTAATACATATGAATGCATTTTTAGAAAGAGGACATTKATAAAATATTGCAAAAGAAATTTCATGTCGCTGAGATGAACAGTTGTTGAGATTTTTGCCTGTGAAGTAACAGGAAGTGATGTCAAAGGGGAAAGTCTGCATGTGAACAGAGCGTTGCTACAACAGCTGATAACCCAGACTGTAGAGAAGAATCTGATGTTTCTTTAGATTATTTTGAGTCTCTATCAGAGAGATGAAGAAGAGTCAGAGTTCAAATAATATTGTTTCAATAAATAAAAACCAGAGAGTTTTCTTTGTTAGAGTTCCCCTTTGATGTCACTTCCTGTTTCACTTTGGCTGAGAAATTCAAAAGAAATATGCCAGTTATGGGACAAAATGGGTAAAAAGCATGTGTATTATTCCAACTTTCTTAAATATAAAGATGTTTTATTTGACTTTTTGTGTTTGAAGAATATGCATGTCACAGACACTTTAAGAGGTAAAACCTTTGCTCTGAACAAGTGAAGACAGTTGTGGTTTTAAAGGAACAAACGGTGGTTTTAGTGAAACCCACCAGACACAGTGATGGTCGAGACGCAGCACACAGACGCCACAGATCCGACAGTGTCCCGCCCTCGGAGGACGCACCACCCCGCACACCGAGCACCAGCTCCTCCGGCTGCTTCCACTCAGCTCTGACCCGTCCTGCTCCGACGGCCCCGCCCGGCTGGTCGCAGTCATCGAGACGTTCTGGCTCCCGCCGTCGAGGGCGGAGTCTCTGTCTGGCAGAGGGCTGTGATACGTCACCGTGCTGTGGATGGCCTCGTCGTTCGGCCGAACGATGCCGGGACCCCTCTTGGTGCGGAGGAGAGCCAGCAGGGTGAGGATGACTCCTGAGCTCACACCCACCACCTCCACCTGCCCCACCCCGCCATGCGGGACCACCTCCCAGATGAACAGGTAGTACATGTAGCCCAGGGAGAAGAGCGCCAGGCTGAGGAAGAACAGTGTCCGACCCTTCTTGCGGTGGGTGAAGTAGTAATACCACAAGACCAAGACGGGCAGTGCCGTCAGAACCACCAGGCCCAGCAGGAAGTGGAGCGCAGCGAGGTGCAGCAAGGCAGGAAGGAGAATAAGAGGAGGGATGATGGACAGGTCTAGTTTCTGGGCTCCGCCCCGCAGCCAGGGGACACGGATCCGGTCTGAGAYGACTTCAGCTATCTGTGACAAGGATTCAGGTTTCTGAGGCTCCCTCTTCATGAACCTAAAAAAACAGATCGACCTCTTTAGAAGCAACGTAGCTGAGATTTGATCTCTTCACAGCAGAAATGTTCTGATGTTTAAATCTCACCCAACATTTGAGATTAAAGAAGCTGTAATCACCAAGATTTAGAAAGTAAGACCAACACCAGAGCAGTAAAGCTGCTTTTAGCTACTGTTCTGCTGTYTTTAGCTATCATTCTATTTATTTTCCCTTTATTCTGCTGCTCTTAGCTCTTTGTCACCATTTTTGCTCCTTTTAGTTAYTGTTTTGCTCCTATGAGCTTCTTTTTATACATTAGCTACCACTTTGCTACTTTTAGATATTTTGCTTTTAGTTTTTAGCTAATGTTTTGTTAGCTTTTAGCTACTGTTTTGTTCCTATGAGTTCCTTTTTAGCTACCAGATTGCTGCATTTAGCTACCACTTTGCTTCTTTTAGCTACCATTTAGCTCCAATGAACTTCCTTTTAGTTGTTAGCTACCATAATTTTGCTTTTACCTACCATTCTGCTCCTTTTTAGCTGATGTTTTGCTTTGTTTTAGCTGTTAGGTACCACATTGCTGCTTTTAGCTACTGTTTTGCACCTTTTTAGCTTTAGYCTTTAGCTACTGTTTTGCTTCTTTTAGCTCCCTTTTAGTTACCAGCTTGCTGCTTTAACTGTTTTGCTCCTTTGTGGTTCTTTTTAGTTATTGGCTATTACTTTGCTGCCTTTAGCTACAATTTTACTCCCATTAACTTCCTTTAAGCTGTTAGCTACCACAATGCTGCTTTTAGCTACTGTTTTGCAYRTTTTGACTTTTAGCTACAGTGTTTGCCCCTATGAACCTCCTTTTAGCTGTTAACTGCCACTTTGCTGTATTTAGCTACCATTTGCCCCATCTACTATTTAGTTACCATGTTGTTCCTTTCAGCTTGTATTCTTGTTTACCTTTTAACAACTGAGTTTCAGCTTCTTTAACAAACTTTAGCAGGCTTTCAGCACTCATCGTTCACAGAAAATCCCATCTTTAGCTACATTTGATAAATAAACCTCATGGTTCTGTAACAGAGAAGAAGCACCTGCAGAGACGGCGTGGGTTTAATGTCACTCACCGGTCGCAGGCATCGTCCAGGTCCTCGCAGTCACAGCAACAAGCTGCGACGTGACTGCGCTCTCCATGCCTGTTCACATACTCGCAGCAACACAGGACCTCCTCCTCCTCCTTCTTCAGCACCTTCTTGGCCTGCTTCTTCATGACGAAGAGCACGGCAGCCTGTCAGGTGTTTGAAGAAACGTTTAGGGCTGAACAATGGGCGATGAGCCACAGATGTGACTCTCAAAGCCTAAATGTTCTTCGCAGATTATCAACCATTTCAGATCCAGCAGGTCCGAACTGCAGACCCTGCTCGTTTGAGCTAACCCATTTCCCCCACACCTGTCACACGCCTGTCATGTTTTAATGGTTTACGGCCCTCCCATCGGTACGGCTCGTTGGCTTATTCATAGCATCGGTGGATTTAGGCTGAGGTGTTGTCTTAGTTTATAATAATCACAGGTCTTCAGCACTAGTCCAGGTTTTTAAAAAATAACTATTTATACAGGACAGCTGTTATTCTTTGAATGTTTTTACCGGTGAGATTAGGATTAGGATTTGTGGGTCTTGAAACCAAATGTCAGTCTCTGTGCCTTCCAGTGCTCTCATTGTGTTCCTAGCCATTTTGTGTAACTTCATAACTTTTAATTAAATTATTAAGTCTGTAAAAAAAACTCAATTCTCACTAACCCCTAATTAAAGGTAAATTAAGGACTGATCACCCTTTGAGTTGATTAATCACCATTTACTATCTCCATCTTTGCTGCATAACTTTACTTTATATCAAGCCATAAATCTTTGAGTTTTACCTCACTGACTGGAGACTAATGATGATTTAATGATATGAATTATGATTTTATTCTCCCCTAGTCACTTTTTAAGTGTCACTTTACCAGAATATTCTTCATTTAATGACTAACCTAACATTTAAACTTTAAATGTGTATTTCAAGGTGACATGTGACTGAAAACTACTATTTTCCAGGAAGAAAAAGTGGCATTAATTCATTTTTAAAAGGGAAAACTAAAAGCAGCARAATTAGCATTCAGAGTGCATCAAACTGTCCAGATTACCTTAAATAGTTGTCAGAAAGAAATACAATATTAGCAGATTACCCTGTAAACACTAACATCCATCTCAAAGACATTTACATGTATAAATAGCTGRCATTGATTCTTAATCATAATAAAAAATATGACAAATTACGATTACCTGAGTAATACTAATCTTTAAACAGAATAAACTAAATAAATAAGCATTTAGATTATAAATCCTGAGATGTTCTGTATRCATTGTGTTACTAAAAGTGTGTTTGAATTTTTTTGTTGTTTGTTTTGATAAATTTGTATCCAGAGGGACAATATGTTAGTAAATGATACCAAAATATTGAAAAATATAATTGCTACCTTTAATATTTTTAATCAATTCCTATTATTTACAGAATAACAGTGACAATAAATAAGCATACTGTGTGTATTAAACGCAGCTCTTTTCAGAGCAGTTACAGGTTATTTTACCTCTTTAAAACCCCAAACATTCAATCTTAACATACCTTAAGACTAAACTGTTAAAAGTTTCCAGAACCTCCGAGCGGACCGAGCCCGCTTTCCTCCGGCGGAAATCTCGGTCCAGGCGGCGGCAGCGCTCGCTTCCGGCGTCTCTCCCCGGCTACATGACGGTCGGTTTGCTGCTGAAGTCACCCCGAACCACGGCCTAGACTGCGGCTAAGAAAGACTGAAATCCGGCAGAGCGCTCCGTGTCCGAGCCGGGGCAGCTTCCGGGTTCTGGTTCCGATTGGAGGCTYCGYTGTATGGCAAGCCGTTGGGGTCAYAAATCGGAACGGCTTGCCATACCGCTGCTGAAGTGAGCGTGTGCGCGTGAGCGCGCGCGCGCGACGGGGGGCGGGGGTTGTCTACTGACGTAAAAGAGAGGGACGTCCCAAAGCTGCCCAACATTCATCACCAGTTTAATTAACATCTACCTGAACATTTAATCCGTCTTTAAGAGCACTTCCGCGTTTAGACTGACGGAGGAAACGAGAAAAACTCATTTTGATGTGTGTTTAAAGTTTTTATGCCTTAAAAACACGAATAGCTGCCATTAACAGAGGCGGATCCACTCATYTGGGGCCCCAGGGAATTCACAGACATCCAGGCCCCCCCACGTCTTGACCTTATTTTTAAACCCATATTTGTGACCTGTTCTGGTCAAATGGGTCACAATGAATGAGCATTTTTTCCAATATTGAGCTTATTTTCAAATTCTTCCACTCAAAAGCTTGAAAATATTTTTTTAGCGGATTAGCATTTTCACTAAAACCAAAATTATTAGCAAATAAATGGCTTCCTCTAAATTAGGTCTGCTTTAAATCTAACATCAGTCTAGGAGGCAAAGACGTGCAACACAAACCAGCATTCGTCTTAGCGGTTACCTTTAGCCAACTTTTACTTGTTTAGCATTAGTTTTTGCAAAAAAAAAAAAAAAGAATTTACATGTTTAGCAGTTTAGCATTTATGTTTTTAGTTAGCTTTGCTAACTCTTAATGCTAACATTTTGGTTTGCTGTGCCCACTTCTGGTAGTTTGTTTAAATTAGTATATTTTAATGTGGTGGCCATGTGGGGTGGCACATGAAGACAAAAAGCCTGCACAGCATTTCAGATTCGTTGTGTTTATGTCATATTTAAAGGGGTGGCCAACCAATAACTCATACTAAATACTAGCCAATGTACCCATAAGAGCACTAAACTACCCATTTAAAAAAACTCAATGTGTTTATTCTCTATCAGTTGTAATTATATAAAAGAAAATCTTAGTTTAAATTTTTTCTTAATACTGTTAATTTCTGCTGTTCAAAAATTTCAAATTTTCCCTTTTTATTTTAAATTATACTCACCTCCTAATACCAAACTGGAATTCAGTTAATTGAAGAATTGAACCATCAGCTCATTTTAATAAACTAAATGTGCTAAATGAACAAACAAACAGATGTTAGGGTTGGAATTGACCCATTAGAGCCTTCTACACCCTCAGGCAGGCTCCATCATGCATTTTATTTCAAAGACAAGATTAAGGGATATTTTCCTAAGTTCACTGGTAAATACATTCAACTGTGTGTTTACTTTATTAAAAAAAAAGGGAGCATTTAGTAATGATACCATTGAATCTTCTGCTTTGTTCCCTTAAACAGTTTTAAACCGTCTCTAGTTTTAAAACGTTTTAAGTGTTAAAATATCAGTAAAATTTTAAAAGTTGTTCCATCGGTAAAACCACAGGAAAATATTTACAAATAGCTTCTTGTACATTTGAATATAGTAAGAATAGCTATATGGGAGTGACTGTGTAAAGAATAAGAAAAAGCCAATAATATCCTTATTGTTCCACGATGTGCAAAATGACAGACAAAAGTTCTTCATAAGTTGTCCCCCCCAGCATGTGAAAATTAAATGTGCCATGTTCCTTCAAGAATTAAACATTAAACATTAAACCAGGCACTGCATCACCAGGTACTAATGAAAAATGTCCTCCATGATAAACAAAAACTTCATCTAGTACCAACAGTACGAGATAACTCAACACGCTACACACAAGTGTGAAAACTACACAGATTAACCAAGTCAGTCGTGACAAATCACTAAAAATAAATATGTTGGAGGAATTTTTACAAAATCCCATTAAAATAGGTTAGCAAAGAAGCAAGCCTGCGTAACTGATTCAACAGTTTATTAAAAACAAAATTTAACCCTATTCACACGACAGGTAAAAATTAAAGAAAAAAATAAATTTTAAATACATTAAGTTAAAAACAATTTTACAGTAGTTTCTTGCATGTGGCACAAAACAAAAACAGCAGCTTCACACGAGAATTTACTAAATTCAAAAACAAAAAATAAACTAACGGATGACAAGACAGGACCTTCTGCTTTCTGTGCAGCTGGTTCTGATTTAACTTCCTCCTCCCAGCAGTCAGTTTGCAGGTTTAAAAAAAAACAAAACATCCTGGCATCCGTTGCACCACCCCTGGC